GGATTTTTTTTCAACACACCTATCGACAAAGCTTTTTGAAGAAGACATTAAATAGCTATATAAATAGCTGAAGTTGTACAAAGGAACACAGCTGCAAAGCAAACAACTATGAAGTGAAAAGAAGTGACAAAGGTAAACGAGATGCATGTTCTTGTTAAATTTTATGTAAAATATGCACAAGAAATCCATTTCGAGTGCATCAAAATGCACCTGTCTGAAAGGAGAACAAATCTTTGATTGGCAGGATCTTGGAGAGCTGCTAAAAGTAATAGCTTCTCTGCTTCTATCATACTCGATTCTCCCCATATCACCTGCAGCAAAAATATTGTGGGATCGATGCATAAATTCGAATCTACTTTCATTTGAAAATCTTGAGGAAACGTGATTGGAAACGAAACCAAAATAATTAGTGAAAATAGAGTTAAAAAAAGAAACTGAGGACAATAGATTGAATTTAATGAGTACCTGAATACTATAGTTTAGTTGCTGACCATAAAAAAATGCAGACCTTGTTGTTGTTTCATTGAAGACAAAACCAGGTGTGGAATGAATATAAATAGAGAATTTCGCCGCATCAACATTCTGAAATACTCATCAAAATTATTTCCAAAATTATAAACTTCCATTTCATTCTTTTTATGAACACATGCAATTTCATTTTAATATATATATATCCTTGATTTTTACACTGCCATCCATTTTTGTCCTTTCGAACCATCATGATAAACAAGAAAGAGATACAGACCTTGAAGAAGGAATCCCACAGAAAATCAAGGGGGAGGTCACGCCGAGCAAGAAAGAGAAAAGCGATTTTCGGTGTGCCTTCAAAGTGATGATACCTTAAAGAGGGAGATGCATGAAAAGCAGGAGGATGTAGGGAAGGAAGCTTGACATGAGAGTGAAGCTTCAGAGAAGCAAAAAGACAGTATGACAAGAAAAAGAGGGCAATCACTATCTTGAAGCCAAACCAAAGGAGATGGCGTGGCTTTGATGATCTCATTTTTTTCATCATGTCATGGCTTACACTATGAAACTCCTTATACATTGTGTGAGTTTAGAGAAACAGATCGTACAGAGATGTATTAAAGGAGTGCTTTAAGTGTGAACTTTGAATAAGAGAGAGGAATATTTATTTAATAGCAAGAAAGTTGAAACTCCATGAAGAAGAAGCAGAATTGCCAAGGAAGTTCATCTTCTAACGTTTTTCCTAGATTTATCTTGAAAGAAACTATTAGAAAATTAATGGCAACAAATTATTACAAGGGAGCCGTTTGGCACACCTAAAACAAACCATAAAATGGGATTTCATTACTTCCTCATGACTCAAGAACACACACAAAAAA